TTTAGGATTGGTAAAATCATAATAAAAATACTCACGTACTGTTTTTATGCACCAGACGTTATCCTAACTGCTTTACAAAAATGTTTTCTTATTCTGCTGACTCCTTATGCACATTATTTCTCATTTCAGTAATTACAAAACAGAGGTAAATAGATCGTTTACAGATAAACCAATGTCTGGTTAGGGAAGTGAAACATAAACAGAAAATAAGACATAACTATATCACCTGTACTTTTTTTTTTTTTTTTTTTGAGATGGAGTTTTGCTCTGTCACCCAGGCTATAGTGGCACCATCTCGGCTCACTGCAACTTCCCCCTCCTGGGTTCAGGCAATTCTTCGCCTCAACTTCCCCCAAGTAGCTGGGATTACAGGCGCCCGCCTCCACACCCTGCTAATTTTTGTATTTTTACTAGAGACAGGGTTTCAACATATTGGCCAGGTTGGTCTCAAACTCCTGACCTTACATAATCCGCCCGTCTTGGCCTCCCAAAGTGCTGGGATTACAAACGTGCACCAACACGCCTGGCCCCCCCTCCCACTTTTATTTTTTTTTGAGACGGAGTTGCTTCTGTTGCTCAGGTTGGAGTGCAATGGCACGATCTTGGCTCACTACAACCCCCGCCTCCCAGGTTCAATCAATTCTCCTGCCTTAGCCTCCTGAGTAGCTGGGATTACAGGCATGTGCCACCACACTTGGCTGATTTTGTATTTTTAGTATAAATAGGGTTTCTCCATGTTGGTCAGGCTGGTCTTGAACTCCCAACCTCAGGTGACCTGCCCGCCTTGGCCTACCAAAGTGCTGGGATTACAGGTGTGAGCCACCATGCCCAGCCATCACCTGTACTTACATTACAGGATGTTTCCATGAGTACAGAACATGACTAATCAGAGAAGGCTTCATGGAGGAATAGGGAAGCCACCGAGCCCCACTAGGAATTGACCCCTCAAGGACATGGTTTCTGCCCTTTTTGTTCACTGCAAATTGTCCAATGCCTAAGGAAAATGCCTACCACAGAAGAGCACCCAAATATTTGTTAAATAAATGTTGCATAAACTATAAGGTGTTATTAGGCAGATGGTACCTTCTCTGAGCAAACTTCCTTCACTGTCCCTCCTCCCGAGCCTGTAGGTGACTTGACTCTTGTCACCTGGCACAGAGTTCTCTCCTATGATGTATGAAATTAGACCAGTGTGTGACCACACACACAAACATTTTTTTTTTTTTTTGAGA